TCAGGGTCACCGCATTTCCCGGGTTTGCCTTATAAACACTTTTGGGGATCTGAAAGGGCCAGCAGGGGTAGTCACATGACACTGGTAACTAGACAACATATGCAACCACACGAGCCAGGTCACATGACCCACCAAGAAGTTATAAGAGTTTGCCAAGGTGGAATCTCATTCTCTTGCTGCTGCGTTTCAATTCTGGACTTGGGTTGCCCCCCACCCTCCTTTGGGTAAGGAAAGTGAGGGTAGGGTTTCTTTATTTTAGGAAACCTGAACTCTTCTGTATGATTTTAATTTTACCGGGGTGATTGCTAGAAGTGTGTGACTCTTCATGGAGGACGCAGAGGTGACTGTCTGGAATTTTATCATTTGACGTGATCCCCTATGAGCCGCTGGGCAACAGACACTGATGCTAACTTGGGTTTTGTTTGTAGGATTTAGAAAAAATGTTTTATGTTTGTTTTTAAAGTGTTGACTATGTTTCTTCCTACCTGTAGCATTGGAACGCTCCATTCCTATCCTGGTGTTACTGAGTTAAGGGGGTATTAAGCGTTCTTGCAAAGCACCAGGCCAGCCAGTTTTATGGTTATTTGATTAGTTTTTTGAGTTTGTTTCTCTTTTATTGGTTGTCCTGGTTGCTGCTATGGGTCAAGTTGTATGACACTGAGGGGACACTGTATTGGTGGGCGTTTGTAACTTCCACACAGAGCTATATACTGCAGTGGTATTTATGTATCTTATGTGTGCCGTGTTTGTCGTGTTGCATGCGCGTGTGGTGTTGGGTTTTGCTGTCTTCCTTTCCCACCAGGGACCTCCTGAGCTGAGAGCTGTTTGTGTCGATCTGACCTTACTATTTGGAGGAGATTCCGCCGGTCACCCTTTGCCATATTTTTCCTTTTCTATCTGTTTTATTGATTTTAGTTATTTGTACTAAATTGCACTGGTTTGATATCCATATGCCTCTTTGTTACTGTTCCATCGCGGGGAGGGCTTAAAATCAGCCACATTACAGGAAGGAACACTAGTTGTCAGATAGCAAAGCAGGCATCCTGTGCGTCAGACTCCACACACTGAGGCGCAGATCTTGTTAAACATGCATTTTAATTTTTACAAATTTTTCATACAACACTTGTTCTCAGTTTAACAACAATATTTTGTGTTCAGTTCAGAACATATTAAAAGGTAGACAGACAAAATCCTCACACTGGTTTAGAGCAGTATTTTGACAAGCAGGTAGAAATGATAAAAGATCATTTTAAAAACTAAAATTTAGTTAATTCTGCAAGGCACACTGTGATCTTTTAGTTGGATGCCCATTGTCATTCACAAACACCCAGGGGAACAGAAGCGGCCATAGAAGAGGATGCTCTTAGTGGGATTGTGCCTGATGAAGAACAGGAAAGGGTGGTCTGCAGTGAAGATGAGTGGCCGGGGTTTGAACATGATGATACTCCTCGTACACCTGAAGAGACCTGCAGTGGCAGCGGCTGCCTCCGTGCTTTCCTCATTCACCTCCACGAAGGCCTTGTGCACCACTTTGGAGAGCAGCAGGTCATTATCGGGAGACATGCCGGAGAAGTCACACTTCTGTTCATCAAAGGCGTCCACCATACCCATGCTGCTCAGGACCTGCTTCATATCATAGGTCTCCTCCAACTTAAACTTGGGCAATTTCACAATCACCTCCTGAAAACGCATCCTGTTTGGTCTCGTCCAGTCCGTAAAGTTCTCATATGTGAGCTTTTGTTCCAGCTTTGGGAGAAAACCAGGTAGAGTCATTAGCTCCTTATTAAAAGTCTAACACTAAAGCATCATTAAATAGCGTAGGATCCCCAGCATATTGTATTGTAACCTTCTAACCTGATTGAAACAAGTATGCAGAGTTTTAAACAAGCCTGGGTTTAGGTCTTAACATCTGTGGTCATGGCCTGGGATTCAGAAGTAGAGTTTGGTTTGTTTCACATCATATTGACTTGGGTAGCCGTTTCTTAATACTCCTCTAAATGTTCCTAAGTCTATAATTACCACCTATATAACCTGCACTTATAAGACAGAAGGCAATGCCAAGAGACCCCTACTCTGATTTAGAGGTCGACACTTTTTCATAGCAACTTCTGTCATTCAGACCTACCTCCTCCAGCCCATTGACCTCATTTGGTAGCATGATGAGCATGCTGAGCATGCTGAGCTCATTATCCACATAGGGCATCTCCAGAACCTTACACTTGGCCTCTGGAATGTCAGATAAACCAAAGCCGTCTTTTTGGCACATCATCATCACTGGCACACTCTTCTTCCAGAGCAAAAACTGAGGGGATGAAGCAGATTGGGTCGATTTAAATGCAAAAGCACAACCTGAAACTTCATCAATATTTGCGATTGTTGTGCGCAGCAATCACTGTGTTCTGTCACATCCATCCATCTATCTATCTATCTATCTATCTATCTATCTATCTTTTTATTATCTTTTTCTTCTTTAGTTTACCTTGTTTATTTTAAAGGGCATTTCCCTTGTTTTTGCAGGATCAAATCTTCTCTGCCAGTTACCCTTGAAATAGATGGCATTTACCAGCACAAGTCTAGTCGAGGGGTCAAGCATCCCTGGAGTCAGCAAGTTCTTGATTTTCTCTACAAAAAGAGGGGAAGGAGAAAGGGATGTTTCATAAATAGCATATTGATAAATTATTCAAATAACGACGACATCAGTTCCTAGATTTAATCCACTGTCAGGGTCAGCTCCTGTTGTTTCGCTCTGTGTCTCTTCCCCCGTTGTCCTACTCTGTAGTGTTTCCCCTGCGCCCTGTCGGCCCTTCTGTTGTGTGTTTGAATCCCACCGCCTCTGTTTTTGGATTTTGTCCCCAAGTGTTTCATTTGAGTTTTCTAGGTCCTGTGTCTTGTGATTTGTACTTGGTTTTGTTATCATGCTTTGTGCCCCTGCTTGTGTTTTTACCTGTCTGCAATTCCCCAGTGTTAGATTCTGTTTTCCCTGTTTCTTGGTCAGTTCTTAGTTTCCCTGTTTAGTTCCTTTGAGTTAATTAGTTTCACCTGCCCCTTGTTAGTCTTGTTACCCTTCTGTATTTAAGTCCCTGCCTCTGTTTAGTTCACCAGTGGTTTGTCGTGATTGTTTGTTTGTTGCAGATGGTCTTGCTGTTGTGGTTTCCGCTATTTTTGATTCCCTGCCTATAGTTAGTTTCCCTTTGTAGATCGTTTAGTTTTGGTAGTTGTCTTATACCCTTTTTATCTTAAATGACTGGGTCATGATTTCTGGTAAGAGACATTGCTGTTGGATTTTTCTGGCGCTTTAATCACCACAGAAAGAATGCCACTCACTCCCAATATATTTGAGAAAAGCCCAACATTTCATGTCTGGTATCTCTAAAACTAGGCAACTCCCAGCAGAACAACCTAGGGGGATAGATAACACTCACGTCCCTCTAATGCATATATATTTATTGTTTCAGTTTTGGGGTGACCTGCCCCTTTAATATTATGCAAAATATACTGGATATATTGTTTTTCCTCCCTGAACAACAATAAAATTTAATATACATCACAGGAGATGGACCACTCATGTGATTCATTAGCTGTAGCTAGGAATGCACTGTGATCCCACTTTGTCTGTCCGGATACCGATACCTGGGCTTTGGGTGTCAGCTGATACCGAGTACCGACCCGATACCAGTGTTTGATAAGCGGTAGGCCTCACTGTGATCATTCTTTTATGTGTAAGGCAACATCAGGCTTAATTTAAACCTTAAACAAAGCTGTCCCAACTTTGTAAAACAAAATGTAACACGTGCATTATATATGTGTTACATTTATCATTTTGTATGATATATACAATGACAATTTAGTAAATTTATATATATGAATTTATTTACCTTACTTGAAACTCAGTTTTCAAATCGGTCATTTATATCAGGTTCTCAATTCTCAATTTGAATAGTACTTAGAGAGGAACAAAATCTTGGGTGTAATGGCTGATTTATACTGCAAATATGCCATAGCCTCTCCAGAAATGCAACGCACGACGCAGACCACAAGAACTGCGATTCGTCCGTTTGGTAGCGTTCTTTTTTTAATAGGAGAGAAGAAAGGGTGATTGAACCTGAAGCATTAGTTATATCTAACATTTTTAATGTTAGATATCGCTAATGCTTCAGTTTTGTGTTCTCTCGCTTCTCCAGAATTTGCGCTAAAGTTTGCTGTTGTGGTCTTTCTCTGTTAGCATTAGCAAACTCCGTGTACTCTAGCTGCACTGTGGTGTGTCTTTAGATATTTGATCAAATTGCGTGCTGTCCTTTCCTCCTCTTGACACTAGTCGAACAATGCTTATAGTCTGCTATACTTGTAGCATTATCTTAAAATATGTCCAAACTGCTGACATCCTCCACGTACAATCGCCAATTTGCCAATGTCAGTGTTCTCTGTATTTATCCCTAAATAATGTTTCACGTTGAAAATCTCTCGCTGGATACCAAAATCTGATTGGGCAGCAATAAATAAATAAATAAAATAAGAAGAAAAAATGTCAAAGCTGTGAGTTTTAATGTAAAGCTGCAATTAAGTGGTATTGGTTCTTGGTACAGGACATATGAATATGAGCGCAGTAACGGCCCGATACCCGATGCTGGTATCAGTGCATCCCCAGTTGTAGCCACGGACGCACCGTTTGTCTGCTTCTCCACCCAGGTGTTAATGTTCACCCTGGCTGCCTCGACGTCTGATTGGAAGTTAACAGGCTCCAGTTCACCCTTGTAGTGTCTATTACTGTCAGTAAGGAATTTCTGTGGAGTCATAAAACACAGGAAGTGGGTCTTTCACAATCACCTAACCTTTAGAGGATCTTAATAATTTAGCGGTCAGGCACATAAAAAAGGCAGGAAAAAAGCAGGAAAGCTTTAAATATAAGTATTTTTAAATACAACTTCTCATGAATCTTTACCCAGTCCATAGTAAGGATGTTTCGTAGAATAATATTATGGGGGGAGACGGAATTAAAATAATAAAGATCTCACCTCAACAAACTGATAAGACTCGTCTCCAAACAAGCGGTTGGCAATGCTCAGTGAATAAGGGGCCCCAGGTTTGTTAAGCAAGGACAACAGCTGGCTGAATCCAACATGAACATCTTCCTCAGCTTTGTGAAAATGCAGAGTCTGCAGGTAGATGACAAATAAGCATGTGTGGCCTTCTGGGTGAGAAGATGTAACTCAGACATTCCCGCCATCCCAAAGGAAACTTACCTCCTGTTGTAATGACAACAACGTACCCAAATTAAAATGTATTTATCAAGTGCACAACAGTACAGCAAACAGCAGTACAGCAAACAGCAGTACAGCAAATAGCAGTACAGTACATGCAGACAATGAACTGAGATTCTCAGAGAGCTCAATATAGCTCAATATATTCGCCTCTTCTCACGTCATGTAATTCTGTTTTCTCTGTTCTTCCTATGACCGGGTCGCTGCTCGTGCGGTCGACCGGTTGGCTTGTAGAGCGGCTGTCTTCCTGACCTGTCTTCCCCCACTGTGATGTCTGTATATGTATGGTCGGGTTGATCTTAACACTGCTCTATGTGCCCTCAAATTGCCCCTCGGGGACAAATAAAGTTCTGATTGATTGATTGATAGTAATTGATATATAAGAGAAATAAGTAAAAAAGTAAATGGTGAGAAGAACCATCAGTTTCTTTTTAGGCTATCATGCCCAGAAGGTAAAATATCTTCCGTTTGTCACCCTTTGTTGACACTATGCGGGCTGCTTCAACTTTGGCTCAATTTTTCTCAAATTTTGTGCAGTTTCCAGTTTCACTTTTTGTGTTGTCATGGTAATGGGATCAAGTGTCTGAGGCTGCCCTTCTCTTTGCTACCACTATGTGGCGGTGTTTCAATATCACTTTTGTCAAAATACCATTTTCAAGCAAAAACCAGCCAGCTCTGCTTATTTAAGCTCAGTATTTCTTACAACCTCAGTTCAGCCATCAAACCTCTGCTCACATATATCTGTCCACATGTGGACTCTAGGCATATTTCTTGCCTTTTTGTGTTTATGAGTCTATCCTGTGCTGTAACTCTGCTGGGAATGACATCAACAAGACACTTTCTGGGTACAAACCTGCGCCATCTGAGCGGCCGTGTCACCCCGAGCCCCCAAGTACACCATGGCCAGGGCGGAGGAAAGGCTGAATGGTGAAAAGATGACATTGTCCTTGTTACCGCTACTAATCTTCGTAAAGAGATCCAGCGAGAAGCGGGTGTTTGCGGCTGTCAGAGACTCCATTGCGAGTGTCCTGGAATGACATGTTTCAGAGCAGATAATCACTGTTGGTTTAATGTATTTATTCAGTCTGTACTGACACAAAGTTATAAATGAGCAAGTTATCTTGGGTGGCTATATAAATAAATTTGCGCTACTCTCAGGAAAAGACAATGGCACTGTTTTCTACAGTCTTTGTACAAAGCAATTGTTCCTGATTTTGCAGAGTCTCGATTAATTGCACATCATATTGTGGCCCTCATTGTCCAGACCCTCTCCCTCTTCTACTTTCAACTACGCCACTCACTCTTGATTGAGCAGGAAATGAAGACACCTAACTGGCCCCTACTATAAGGGACCACCCTGCACTGGTAAAGTTCAAGTAAATGAACAGTTGAAGGCTGAGGTGCAAAAGCTATATAAACAATACTTTATTTACAGAGTTGTCACAAAGACAGTTAAAAGGCTGGATCCATAAGTTTGCACACACCACTAAAATAGTAACATTGAAAGCACTCTCCGGTCCATAAAAACGAACAATTAGAAACAGGCGAATCCACCTTACAGAGTCCTGGGTGGTATCCCAACCCTCAGCATTACCACGTGCTCCTCTGCAAATTCAAACCTAGATCAATCCACACCAATACCACACCATTATAACAAATGCAGCAATCACAAATGTGCTATATCATTTAAATGAGCACTCTCAATTTTAAGATGTTACCGAAGTGCAAGTGGTTAAACACGCCAAGTGTGTGCCCACCATACACGCTTAATTAATAATGAACAATATTACAACATATCAACAAAGGAACTCTCAAGCACATAAAACAGTAACAAAGCCAGGGATAAGAGAGAAGATAAGAGGAATTTTACAGGCTTAGCTTTTTCGTTTTTATACTGAACTAAAGTTGTGCCGTACTGCTTAATTTCATCTAAAAAATTGGGGGAAAATTGGGTTTAGGTCTTAAAACCTTTTTCTTATGAATGTGGAATTTTCCATATGCAATAAATAACTGAATCACATAAATAATGTCTGCTTGTTATGGATTGGACCGGGGAAGCAGGAGCAGGGAGACGGAGAATTGGGGAACGAGGGATTTATTGCAGGAACCATCACTGAACACGAGGAAAACAAGCAGAAACATCACAATGTTAATGACCGGACTGGGGAAACATACTTAAACGCGACTTAAATACATTGGATTAATCAATGGGCTAAGCCTGCGTGCATGCTTGTAATCAGAAAGTCGCCGGTTCAAACCCAGCCACAGCACGTCTGCGGGTCCTTGAATTAGTTCCTTAACCCCCAGCTCCCTGGGCGCTACTACGCGTGGCTGCCCTTCGCGGACAACTTACTCAACAAAGAGCAAGCTGAGGGATGCGTAAAAACAATTTCCCCATGGGGAAATTTTACAATAAAGTAAAATTATTATAACAACATGAAGAAACAGCTGGTAAACACGGGGATTCCACACCAGGTAGATGAGGAAGCGTGGCACACAGGAGGAGCAGACGAGTGGGGCATGACACTGCTCTTAACCATCCAGCCATCCATCCATCCATTTTCCAACCTGCTTATCCTACTGGGTTGTGGGGGGTCTGGAGCCTATTCTGTATGCAATGGGCACGAGGCAGGGAGGCCAGCCCATCAGGGGGCACACTCACACACCATTCACTCACACATGCACACCTAAGGGCAATCTAGCAACTCCAATTAGCCTCAGCATGTCTTTGGACTGTGGGGGGAAACCGGAGTCCCCACGACAACACGGGGAGAACATGCAAACTCCACACACATATAACCCAGGTCCCAGAGGTGTGAGGCAACAGTGCTAACCACTGCACCACCAAGTCGCCCCACTGCTCGGAACCCCTCATTTTAAAAATAAAGACGTCAAACATTTCAATTGTCACTTTCCTTCCAATCTTATTACTAATAAAATTAGATAAATCTATCCAAAACATTCTTGTATAGATACATTTGAAAACAAATGAATAGTGGACTCTGTTTCCATGCCACAAAAACCACAATTGTAATCTACCGTGTTTCCCCAAAAATAAGCCCTAATACGATTTTTCAGGATGCTCGTAACATAAGGCCTACTCCAAAAATAAGCCCTAGTTACTATCCCATGGATTGTACGNCCTGGGTTTAGGTCTTAACATCTGTGGTCATGGCCTGGGATTCAGAAGTAGAGTTTGGTTTGTTTCACATCATATTGACTTGGGTAGCCGTTTCTTAATACTCCTCTAAATGTTCCTAAGTCTATAATTACCACCTATATAACCTGCACTTATAAGACAGAAGGCAATGCCAAGAGACCCCTACTCTGATTTAGAGGTCGACACTTTTTCATAGCAACTTCTGTCATTCAGACCTACCTCCTCCAGCCCATTGACCTCATTTGGTAGCATGATGAGCATGCTGAGCATGCTGAGCTCATTATCCACATAGGGCATCTCCAGAACCTTACACTTGGCCTCTGGAATGTCAGATAAACCAAAGCCGTCTTTTTGGCACATCATCATCACTGGCACACTCTTCTTCCAGAGCAAAAACTGAGGGGATGAAGCAGATTGGGTCGATTTAAATGCAAAAGCACAACCTGAAACTTCATCAATATTTGCGATTGTTGTGCGCAGCAATCACTGTGTTCTGTCACATCCATCCATCTATCTATCTATCTATCTATCTATCTATCTATCTTTTTATTATCTTTTTCTTCTTTAGTTTACCTTGTTTATTTTAAAGGGCATTTCCCTTGTTTTTGCAGGATCAAATCTTCTCTGCCAGTTACCCTTGAAATAGATGGCATTTACCAGCACAAGTCTAGTCGAGGGGTCAAGCATCCCTGGAGTCAGCAAGTTCTTGATTTTTTCTACAAAAAGAGGGGAAGGAGAAAGGGATGTTTCATAAATAGCATATTGATAAATTATTCAAATAACAACGACATCAGTTCCTAGATTTAATCCACTGTCAGGGTCAGCTCCTGTTGTTTCGCTCTGTGTCTCTTCCCCCGTTGTCCTACTCTGTAGTGTTTCCCCTGCGCCCTGTCGGCCCTTCTGTTGTGTGTTTGAATCCCACCGCCTCTGTTTTTGGATTTTGTCCCCAAGTGTTTCATTTGAGTTTTCTAGGTCCTGTGTCTTGTGATTTGTACTTGGTTTTGTTATCATGCTTTGTGCCCCTGCTTGTGTTTTTACCTGTCTGCAATTCCCCAGTGTTAGATTCTGTTTTCCCTGTTTCTTGGTCAGTTCTTAGTTTCCCTGTTTAGTTCCTTTGAGTTAATTAGTTTCACCTGCCCCTTGTTAGTCTTGTTACCCTTCTGTATTTAAGTCCCTGCCTCTGTTTAGTTCACCAGTGGTTTGTCGTGATTGTTTGTTTGTTGCAGATGGTCTTGCTGTTGTGGTTTCCGCTATTTTTGATTCCCTGCCTATAGTTAGTTTCCCTTTGTAGATCGTTTAGTTTTGGTAGTTGTCTTATACCCTTTTTATCTTAAATGACTGGGTCATGATTTCTGGTAAGAGACATTGCTGTTGGATTTTTCTGGCGCTTTAATCACCACAGAAAGAATGCCACTCACTCCCAATATATTTGAGAAAAGCCCAACATTTCATGTCTGGTATCTCTAAAACTAGGCAACTCCCAGCAGAACAACCTAGGGGGATAGATAACACTCACGTCCCTCTAATGCATATATATTTATTGTTTCAGTTTTGGGGTGACCTGCCCCTTTAATATTATGCAAAATATACTGGATATATTGTTTTTCCTCCCTGAACAACAATAAAATTTAATATACATCACAGGAGATGGACCACTCATGTGATTCATTAGCTGTAGCTAGGAATGCACTGTGATCCCACTTTGTCTGTCCGGATACCGATACCTGGGCTTTGGGTGTCAGCTGATACCGAGTACCGACCCGATACCAGTGTTTGATAAGCGGTAGGCCTCACTGTGATCATTCTTTTATGTGTAAGGCAACATCAGGCTTAATTTAAACCTTAAACAAAGCTGTCCCAACTTTGTAAAACAAAATGTAACACGTGCATTATATATGTGTTACATTTATCATTTTGTATGATATATACAATGACAATTTAGTAAATTTATATATATGAATTTATTTACCTTACTTGAAACTCAGTTTTCAAATCGGTCATTTATATCAGGTTCTCAATTCTCAATTTGAATAGTACTTAGAGAGGAACAAAATCTTGGGTGTAATGGCTGATTTATACTGCAAATATGCCATAGCCTCTCCAGAAATGCAACGCACGACGCAGACCACAAGAACTGCGATTCGTCCGTTTGGTAGCGTTCTTTTTTTAATAGGAGAGAAGAAAGGGTGATTGAACCTGAAGCATTAGTTATATCTAACATTTTTAATGTTAGATATCGCTAACGCTTCAGTTTTGTGTTCTCTCGCTTCTCCAGAATTTGCGCTAAAGTTTGCTGTTGTGGTCTTTCTCTGTTAGCATTAGCAAACTCCGTGTACTCTAGCTGCACTGTGGTGTGTCTTTAGATATTTGATCAAATTGCGTGCTGTCCTTTCCTCCTCTTGACACTAGTAGAACAATGCTTATAGTCTGCTATACTTGTAGCATTATCTTAAAATATGTCCAAACTGCTGACATCCTCCGCGTACAATCGCCAATTTGCCAATGTCAGTGTTCTCTGTATTTATCCCTAAATAATGTTTCACGTTGAAAATCTCTCGCTGGATACCAAAATCTGATTGGGCAGCAATAAATAAATAAATGAAATAAGAAGAAAAAATGTCAAAGCTGTGAGTTTTAATGTAAAGCTGCAATTAAGTGGTATTGGTTCTTGGTACAGGACATATGAATATGAGCGCAGTAACGGCCCGATACCCGATGCTGGTATCAGTGCATCCCTAGTTGTGGCCACGGACGCACCGTTTGTCTGCTTCTCCACCCAGGTGTTAATGTTCACCCTGGCTGCCTCGGCGTCTGATCGGAAGTTAACAGGCTCCAGTTCACCCTTGTAGTGTCTATTACTGTCAGTAAGGAATTTCTGTGGAGTCATAAAACACAGGAAGTGGGTCTTTCACAATCACCTAACCTTTAGAGGATCTTAATAATTTAGCGGTCAGGCACATGAAAAAGGCAGGAAAAAAGCAGGAAAGCTTTAAATATAAGTATTTTTAAATACAACTTCTCATGAATCTTTACCCAGTCCATAGTAAGGATGTTTCGTAGAATAATATTATGGGGGGAGACGGAATTAAAATAATAAAGATCTCACCTCAACAAACTGATAAGACTCGTCTCCAAACAAGCGGTTGGCAATGCTCAGTGAATATGGGGCCCCAGGTTTGTTAAGCAAGGACAACAGCTGGCTGAATCCAACGTGAACATCTTCCTCAGCTTTGTGAAAATGCAGAGTCTGCAGGTAGATGACAAATAAGCATGTGTGGCCTTCTGGGTGAGAAGATGTAACTCAGACATTCCCGCCATCCCAAAGGAAACTTACCTCCTGTTGTAATGACAACAACGTACCCAAATTAAAATGTATTTATCAAGTGCACAACAGTACAGCAAACAGCAGTACAGCAAACAGCAGTACAGCAAATAGCAGTACAGTACATGCAGACAATGAACTGAGATTCTCAGAGAGCTCAATATAGCTCAATATATTCGCCTCTTCTCACGTCATGTAATTCTGTTTTCTCTGTTCTTCCTATGACCGGGTCGCTGCTCGTGCGGTCGACCGGTTGGCTTGTAGAGCGGCTGTCTTCCTGACCTGTCTTCCCCCACTGTGATGTCTGTATATGTATGGTCGGGTTGATCTTAACACTGCTCTATGTGCCCTCAAATTGCCCCTCGGGGACAAATAAAGTTCTGATTGATTGATTGATAGTAATTGATATATAAGAGAAATAAGTAAAAAAGTAAATGGTGAGAAGAACCATCAGTTTCTTTTTAGGCTATCATGCCCAGAAGGTAAAATATCTTCCGTTTGTCACCCTTTGTTGACACTATGCGGGCTGCTTCAACTTTGGCTCAATTTTTCTCAAATTTTGTGCAGTTTCCAGTTTCACTTTTTGTGTTGTCATGGTAATGGGATCAAGTGTCTGAGGCTGCCCTTCTCTTTGCTACCACTATGTGGCGGTGTTTCAATATCACTTTTGTCAAAATACCATTTTCAAGCAAAAACCAGCCAGCTCTGCTTATTTAAGCTCAGTATTTCTTACAACCTCAGTTCAGCCATCAAACCTCTGCTCACATATATCTGTCCACATGTGGACTCTAGGCATATTTCTTGCCTTTTTGTGTTTATGAGTCTATCCTGTGTTGTAACTCTGCTGGGAATGACATCAACAAGACACTTTCTGGGTACAAACCTGCGCCATCTGAGCGGCCGTGTCACCCCGAGCCCCCAAGTACACCATGGCCAGGGCGGAGGAAAGGCTGAATGGTGAAAAGATGACATTGTCCTTGTTACCGCTACTAATCTTCGTAAAGAGATCCAGCGAGAAGCGGGTGTTTGCGGCTGTCAGAGACTCCATTGCGAGTGTCCTGGAATGACATGTTTCAGAGCAGATAATCACTGTTGGTTTAATGTATTTATTCAGTCTGTACTGACACAAAGTTATAAATGAGCAAGTTATCTTGGGTGGCTATATAAATAAATTTGCGCTACTCTCAGGAAAAGACAATGGCACTGTTTTCTACAGTCTTTGTACAAAGCAATTGTTCCTGATTTTGCAGAGTCTCGATTAATTGCACATCATATTGTGGCCCTCATTGTCCAGACCCTCTCCCTCTTCTACTTTCAACTACGCCACTCACTCTTGATTGAGCAGGAAATGAAGACACCTAACTGGCCCCTACTATAAGGGACCACCCTGCACTGGTAAAGTTCAAGTAAATGAACAGTTGAAGGCTGAGGTGCAAAAGCTATATAAACAATACTTTATTTACAGAGTTGTCACAAAGACAGTTAAAAGGCTGGATCCATAAGTTTGCACACACCACTAAAATAGTAACATTGAAAGCACTCTCCGGTCCATAAAAACGAACAATTAGAAACAGGCGAATCCACCTTACAGAGTCCTGGGTGGTATCCCAACCCTCAGCATTACCACGTGCTCCTCTGCAAATTCAAACCTAGATCAATCCACACCAATACCACACCATTATAACAAATGCAGCAATCACAAATGTGCTATATCATTTAAATGAGCACTCTCAATTTTAAGATGTTACCGAAGTGCAAGTGGTTAAACACGCCAAGTGTGTGCCCACCATACACGCTTAATTAATAATGAACAATATTACAACATATCAACAAAGGAACTCTCAAGCACATAAAACAGTAACAAAGCCAGGGATAAGAGAGAAGATAAGAGGAATTTTACAGGCTTAGCTTTTTCGTTTTTATACTGAACTAAAGTTGTGCCGTACTGCTTAATTTCATCTAAAAAATTGGGGGAAAATTGGGTTTAGGTCTTAAAACCTTTTTCTTATGAATGTGGAATTTTCCGTATGTAATACTGAATCACATAAATAATGTCTGCTTGTTATGGATTGGACCGGGGAAGCAGGAGCAGGGAGACGGAGAATTGGGGAACGAGGGATTTATTGCAGGAACCATCACTGAACACGAGGAAAAGAAGCAGCAACATCACAATGTTAATGACCGGACTGGGGAAACATACTTAAACGCGACTTAAATACATTGGATTAATCAATGGGCTAAGCCTGCGTGCATGCTTGTAATCAGAAAGTCGCCGGTTCAAACCCAGCCACAGCACGTCTGCGGGTCCTTGAATTAGTTCCTTAACCCCCAGCTCCCTGGGCGCTACTACGCGTGGCTGCCCTTCGCGGACAACTTACTCAACAAAGAGCAAGCTGAGGGATGCGTAAAAACAATTTCCCCATGGGGAAATTTTACAATAAAGTAAAATTATTATAACAACATGAAGAAACAGCTGGTAAACACGGGGATTCCACACCAGGTAGATGAGGAAGCGTGGCACACAGGAGGAGCAGACGAGTGGGGCATGACACTGCTCTTAACCATCCAGCCATCCATCCATCCATTTTCCAACCTGCTTATCCTACTGGGTTGTGGGGGGTCTGGAGCCTATTCTGTATGCAATGGGCACGAGGCAGGGAGGCCAGCCCATCAGGGGGCACACTCACACACCATTCACTCACACATGCACACCTATGGGCAATCTAGTAACTCCAATTAGCCTCAGCATGTCTTTGGACTGTGGGGGGAAACCGGAGTCCCCACGACAACACGGGGAGAACATGCAAACTCCACACACATATAACCCAGGTCCCAGAGGTGTGAGGCAACAGTGCTAACCACTGCACCACCAAGTCGCCCCACTGCTCGGAACCCCTCATTTTAAAAATAAAGACGTCAAACATTTCAATTGTCACTTTCCTTCCAATCTTATTACTAATAAAATTAGATAAATCTATCCAAAACATTCTTGTATAGATACATTTGAAAACAAATGAATAGTGGACTCTGTTTCCATGCCACAAAAACCACAATTGTAATCTACCGTGTTTCCCCAAAAATAAGCCCTAATACGATTTTTCAGGATGCTCGTAACATAAGGCCTACTCCAAAAATAAGCCCTAGTTACTATCCCATGGATTGTACGCAGTGTTACCAACATTTCGCGAGTATTTAGACCCTTCTATCTACTCCTTTTTTTAAAAAAAAAAAAAAAAAAAAAAAAAAGCTACTAGCGAAAAATCTAGTGACTTTTTCTGGTGTTACTGGAGACTTTTGGAGACTCTGACGTGAAAGTACGTATCGTTCTTACTTTTCTCACGGAGCGACGGGGGCTGCCGTGGGCTCCTCTCCCGTCCCAAAGCACTCACAGGCGGACAGTCCGCGCGCAGCAGGCCCGCCCAGCTACAGTCACAGTAGGAGATGTGCATCATTTTCTCACACTTCCATTGACGGTTCTTTTCTATTGTTCTTTTTTTTGGTCCGTTTAGATTGTTAGTGTAGATTTTATACAAAAATGTCATGGTTAAAAACGTTCACTGTTAAATTGTTTAAGCAAACTTAAAAAAAAAAAAAAAAAGTAACTCCGCCAGGGTTTCTCTTTGGGGTCACTTTTGCCCAAGCCCGGATAAAGGAGAGGGTTGGAATTGTGATATATAAAAAAACAAGAATCGAAAGAAGAAATTTCATTTGTAGTTCTAAACGTATTCGGCTGTTTTTTAAACTACTTTTCGTCTCTTCCAATACATTATTCTTCTCTCTTACACCGTCCACTACATTTACATGCGCATTATCCAAATGAGGTGACGGCGTCATTTAGCGACTTTTAATTGGTACAGTCAACAGCTACTTTTCTTCCAGAGGAGCTGGCAACAGTGACTGTACGGTAACTAGAATGAGATGCGATTATACGTAAACAGGAAATAATATTTTGACCCCCAGACAAGACGAGCGCTAAAAGAGCGTGGTAAAGTTGGTTTTATATTTGATATTTGTTTGGTATTCGGATTTGCCTCCCCTATATCTTTGAAACGACACCACCAAAAATCACAAATGTCAGATTTTCTTTTTCAGAAGAATATACAAATTGTACTGCAACATTGCATAGTGATTGATATATTCATTAATTATTGTAGTGATGAGGCATTTTCCGCGAAACCAATAATCCAGCGCTGGAAGCGCAGCCTTTTGCTAGAGACCGTCCACAAAGTGCATTCGGGGGAACCAAGCATTGCTACTGGAGCATTATTGCTAAGATTTTCATAAAAACATCTGTGAAATTGCAATAATTTCACATTCATAGTAAACCAATTTGTTACACGTCAAAGGTTGTAGTAGTTGCCAGATGTGATCATTGACTTACTACAAGTGGAATTTCACAGAAATATCCAGCCATGAGTTTACTGACTTACTACAAGTACCCCTAAAGGGACCAAAGGAACTAAACAGGGGACACAATGGAACTCAGAGCACAGCACCACCTGGGGGAAACAAATTCTGGTTCTAAAGAAAGGGAGTTGCGAGATATTCAGGATGGAATTTGGAGCTTGGGGATTTACGACGATGTTCCAGAAGAAGATGACGACTATATTTAAATAAATATATACGCAGTTGGTTTTTGTTCATGAATAAATCCGTTACATTGTATACAATGAAAGAAACGGTTAGAAGATGACATGATGTCTGTATTTGAATAAATGTGGATTTTTGTTCATGAATATCGGTAAATGTACTGTAGTTTGCTGTACATGGGAAAATAAGACTTCCCCTGAAAATGAGCCCTAACGCGTCTTCTGGAGCAAAAATTCATATAAGACCCTGTGTTATTTTCGGGGAAACACGGTAGACAGTGCGTCAAAGACCACAGCATGTTCTTTAGGTATTTTAAATGAAACTCCGCATATGTCATTAGAAGGCCATTGGCATTCAGTAGCTGCCCAATAATCAAAATACCATTGTCAAACCATGATTTATAAAACAAAGTCTTATTTTTATATACAGCTGAATCAAGACGCCTTCCTTTGATCGACCGGAGATACCGTCATACATACTCTCCTCGATCACTCCTGGGTCCTAATTAAGGTCCCACTGGTTACATAAATTGCACACTAATTTCATACTATAGTCATGCCAGTAGAAATGCTGGATTCAAATTTACAAAAGACTTTAATACTTACTGCTTAAGCTGCAGTTATGAATTTTCGCTTTCAGCTCTAGAAACTTACAGCGGGCTATGAATCACATCTCTTCCGGCAATTGTTCACAGAAACAATGCCACTTTTAAAGTGAAATAGATCATTAATATGATATAAATATAGCAAAAATTAATAAGGTCATATTGCGTTATAAAAGGAAGAATTTTCTCCCTTCGGCTCTTACATAAACTTAAAATCAATATTGCCGTGTAAATTACTGCAGTCGAATAGTTTCCTAATTATTATTACGCAAACCAATTATAAGACTTTTGAACATTTCCAAACTGGCGCTTTGGTTTCTCACAAAACTCTACTTATATACCTATTATTATTATTATAAAAAAATACGTTGTCTGGGTCCCTGAAATTCTTGCCCATTATTCCCCATTATGGGCAGCCCTGTGGTATTCGTGCATATCCATCCACAATCATTACTGCTGGGAAAACAGAGAACCCGACGGAAACGCCCCGACAGAGTAGATCATGCAAACTAGACCCATGGAGGAGACTCCAACCCCAGTCACAGAGGTGAGAGGATATGGCGCTATAGCCACTACACAATATATCCATTAAAATCGGTATCTTAACGATAGAATCAATTCTCAAAATGAAACATTGTAATGGAATATAATCTGTATTTAAAGTATCGATCTGCATATCTTCATCAGACATTATCACTTGCAGATCAAGATTGCATTACACGAGGAAGAAGGTCGGTGTGTTTTACCCGCTTGTCCGAAAGAAAAAAACTTATACGCCGACAGTGTACAACCGAGGCACAGCAGCAGGAGCGCTAATACTTTGCTTCCGGGTTTTAGACCTTTTAGCTGTGCGCCCCAGCAGACAGACTAATATCTAATGAAGTAATATGCTGTCAATGTAATGCAGTGACAAAACGCGATTTAATACGAAAATGAAAGAAAACGAAACAAATAACCGGTTCTGCTGCAGTACAGAAAACACGTTTATGGTTTATTAAATTTTTTCCGCTTCTCTAATACTCCCAGGGAAGCAGAATGGACTGGATGACCGTCGTGCGATTTTTTCTCTGGTTAACCAGCAGGGGACGTTATACTGTACGTGAATTATGCAGTAATGGAGAAGCGTGATCTGATAGTATCGTTCATTACTCTCTTGGTTAAACACTTGCGTAAAACAATGAATGCAGGATTGCCGAGAATAACGTTTTGCAGATTTTAATGCGGACTGTGCAAGTAAGCATAAACATGGCGTAACATACACGGGGACTGACGTTGTCTGCCCGTTAGGACCCCTAACAACCCAAATAATACTATGCGGCACAAACGCATGATGGCAAATAAAATAAATTCAGTGCTTTGGCCTGAATTTTACAGTCACCTCCGTCAAGATATCAGTGCAGTTATACGAAGTGATTCGAGTGAAGGTACAACACCAGAACAAGCCAGAATACATTCCATTTGTAACCAATGAAAGATCTTATCCATTTGCTTGTAAAAGTTACATCTCTGGCACAGTCATCAGAAACTATATAACAAACTATTCAATAAGCTAAGCTGATGAGTAATGCAGTTACTGTTCAGCAAAGAGTGGGGCAGTGTGTGCTTGTGTGAATTTGGACTGTGACTGGAAGGTTGCTAGTTGAAATCCCATGGGCAGAGTCATGTCCCAGTTGGGCTTTTAAGCAAGACCCTTAAGCCCCAATCACTCCTGCACCAAGACGTTAAGCAGCAGATCCTTCAAGTCCTCTATGTTGCGAGGTTGGGCCGCCATGGATCGGAATTGTTTGTCCAGCACGTCCCACAGATCTTCTTTCATTGCTCCAAGGTCCAGGTTGATGCTCTTCTGTGAACTGTAGGTGTAACTGTCCCAATGACAGTGTGTTCTGAAAGTTCATTTTTGTTATAAATTGAGATACCTAAATCTGTTGTGATCTTTACAATTTATTTAAAATATGTTTATTGAATAATTAAAAATTCTATGTAAATTGACGCAAAGCGTAATGGGTCACATGACTGACGTTTGGCATGGTTTTGGCGCGGTGGCACTGGGGAAGAGGTAGTTGCACAGTGCTGAAAGGGATTTAACGCTGCATGTGGTCCAAGAGGCGCACACGGTAATTGTTATTTTTTTTTGTGTTGTATGTGATTATAATTAAGTGTGTATTTATATGTACGATGTATCTTTGTTTCGGTTAATTGTGAGTGTGATGTATTTTGGACGAGCTTGCGTGTTTGTGACGGGGCTGCTAAGGAAGAGACTTGTATGGACTGTGATGTAAATTTTTGTCTTAATTTTGTTATAGTTTTCACGGTGTCTGCTGAGAGGAGAGAGAGATACAAATAAACCCTCAAAGACATCTGTATGAAGCGTGGCCATTGTTTAATTGGACCCGTGTAGCTACAGTAGGTGCTTTTGAGGGTGGACAGGGGTGAGCATGGACACTCTGCTCGGTCTGTGGCTACACAGCCCCATGTGCAGCAGGCTGCGATGCACCATGTGCTGTGACTCTCGTCCATAACTATCATTAACATTTTCTGTGAATTGTGTCACAACAGCCCATCTGTCTGTTTGTGGACTGCTGCGCTATGCTGATTTCAGGCGGCTTGAAAAAGCATTTTATTTAGACTGGTGGGTGACACAAGTCAAAATCTGTACTATGAGGTAGACAGTAAGCAACAGTTTCACATTATTCCAGTCTTTAGTCTTTATATACCTGGGGTGGGGCGATAGTATCCAAACACAGCAGCAATGCAATCGGTCTGGCTCAAGAGACACTAGGGTCCTGCAACCAGCTCAACCCCCAAACCAAAGAAACACAGGCCTTAGTTTCAAGCAATGTCCTCAGTGTCATCAAAGGCTTACTTTGTCTCAGGAGATAATGATGTGTGTGATCTAAAATATAAAATGGCTCTAGTCCCAGGAATGTTCCTCAGCATATGAGACACAGGACAGTATATATCAGTCTTGCTGGCTAAGGGTAAGGCCTGTGAGAGGACACGTTGTGGGTATATGCTGGGAAGGAACCTTCAGTTTGGCAAGTGGGACCATGTGGTGACTTATTGTAGAGGTTTATACTAGTAGGTAAGCAATGTAGTATTTCTCACATCCAAATACATATACAACAGATACCAAAGGTCTACAACACATTTAATGAACATTTTAACTTCCGTTACTTTGAATGAGAAATCACACAAGATGTTTTTAAACAATTCCCAATATAAGTGCAGACTTGATATTTGCTATATATTTCACAGCTGAAGATTAGCTTGGATTGACTAGTTATTTGTTTGCAAGTGATGCTAGTTAGCAGCTGTGTCAAACTGCACAGAGAGGTGTCTGTGCTTGTGGCCTGTGGTAGCCTGTGGTGTCCTGTACCGTGTGTGATGTACACTCTGGGATGCTGAGCAGGGCAGGGCGGCTCCTGCACACAGCAGTCACCTGGGGAGCTGTGTAAGTGTTGTCTCGATGGCATCAGGGTCACCGCATTTCCCAGGTTTGCCTTATAGACACCGAAGAGACTTAGATCATGTTACATATGCATTTTTATTTCCACTCATTTTTCGTACAGCACTTGTTCTCAGTTTAAGGGCAAAATTTGGTGTATGCTGGTCAAATACATTAAAAGGAAAACGGAGAAAGTCTTCAACATGGTTAATGATAAAACATTTTCAAGGATTTTACTTGTTCTCACTTTCAGGATAATCTTTGGTGTTTTGTTCAAAATACATTGTAAAGGTCCATAGAAAAAGTCCTCAAATTGTTTAAGGTGCACTTTGATAAGCAGGAGTAAAAACGCCATTTTTAAAGTAATTTAGTATCACAGCGAAGCACACAGTATTCGGTTATCTTTGTTATATTTACCCATCATGTTCCACCTGAGAAATGCTCAGGCTTTGGGGGAACAGAAGCGGCCATAGAAGAGGATGCTCTTAGTGGGATTGTGCCTGATGAAGAACAGGAAGGGGTGGTCTGCAATGAACCGAGGGGGAATCATTGCTGCACAGCGCAGCATCATGATGGCTGCAGTGGCAGCGGCCGCCTCTGTGCCTTCCTCATTCACCTCTACGAAGGCCTTGTGCACCACTTTGGAGAGCACCAGGTCGTTATCGGGAGACATGCCAGAGAAGTCACACTTCTGTTCATCAAAGGCGTCCACAATACCCATGCTGCTCAGGACCTGCTTCATATCATAGGTCTCCTCCAACTTAAACTTGGGCAAACACACAATCACCTCCTGAACGTGCATCATGTTTGGTCTCGTCCAGTCCGTAAAGTTCTCATATGTGAGCTTTTGTTCCAGCTTCGGGAGAAAACCAGGTAGAGTCATTAGCTCCTTATTAAAAGTCTAACACTAAAGCATCATTAAATAGCGTAGGGGATCCCCAATATATTTTATTGTAACATTCTAGTCTGATTGAAATTGAAACACAAGTATGCAGTTTTTTTAAAAGAGATATCAAGCCTGGGTTTAGGCCTTAACATCTGTGGTCATGGCCTGGGATTCAGAAGCAGAGTGTGGTTTGCAGCTTGTCTTACTGACTTGGGTAATCATTTCTTAAAACTCTGATTTAGAGGTTACTGTAGGTCACAAACATGTTTTATAGCAACTTCTGTCATTCAGACCTACCTCCTCCAGCCCATTGACCTCATTTGGTAGCATGATGAGCATGCTGAGCTCTTCATCAACATAGGGCATCTCCAGAACCTGACACTTGGCCTCTGGAATGAAGGTAAAACCAAACTTGGCTTTTTTCTCCATCATCATCACTGACACACTGTGATTCTGGAGTAAAGAAAAAATGAGGGGAAGAAGCATATTGTGTCAATTTATATACAGAAGCACAACGTGAACTAGCATCAATCTTTAGCATATCAGATACACATACAAATTTGCAGTCAATCCAGTGAAACACCAAGTTTACCTTGTTCATTTTAAAGGGCATTTCCCTTGTGTTTGCAGGATCAAATTTTTTCTGCCAGTTACCCTTGAAATAGATGGCATTTACCAGCACAAGTCTAGTTAAGGGGTCAAGCATTCCTGGAGTCAGCAAGTTCTTGATTTTTGCTACAAAAGATGACAGAGGAGAAAGACAAAGGCATGTTTTTTAAATAGCATAACGTTTTTCAAATACAACAATTTCAATATTATATAAAAAAATGTTGGTAGTATTCTCCCTCAAACAACAGTATTTATCTAGAATAGATTATTGGTTTTGCAAATACTTGACCAGAGGAGCAAGGTCTAGATTTCCCAAATGTGGTCTGAGCCAAAAACCATGGATACTGATAAATTTGCAGGTAACCAGATGCTGTAGAACGCTTCTCTGCATGTCTACATTTCTGCACAACTATTAAGTACTTAACTCTTTTGAGCGACCAGTCATTGAATCACTGTGGAGATCTTGCCTCTACCCAGCTTGTGAAATTTCATCTGACATTAACACGCCTCACTGGAGACTTGTGAATAATCGGTTATAGCAATGAACGCACCGTTTGTCTGCTTCTCTACCCAGGTGTTAATGTTCACCCTGGCTGCCTCGGCGTCTGATTGGAAGTTAACAGGCTCCAGTTCAGCCTTGTAGTGTTTCTTACTGTCAGTAAGGAATTTCTGTGGGGTCATAAGACACAGGAAGTGGGTCTATTGTGATTATGTAATATTTAAAGGATTTTTAAATTTTAGATGTCAGAAGGAATGAAAATGCAGAAGTTAAGAATCCTTATGCAATTCATAGTTAAAAGCATACTTTTGTAGATTAAAGGGGGTGGTATAGGTTTTTTTTTTTTTTTTTTTTTTAAATAATAATCTCACCTCAACAAACTGATAAGACTCGTCTCCATACAAGCGGTTGGCAATGCTCAGTGAATAAGGGGCCCCAGGTTTGTTAAGCATGGACAACAGCTGGCTGAATCCAACGTGAACATCTTCCTCAGCTTTGTGAAAATGATGAGTCTGCATGGTTGATGACAAATAAGCATGTGTGGCTTATATAACTCAAACACCCAGGCATCCCAAAGGAAATCGTTAGGGGGAAAGAAACACCTTAACGTTACCCTTTGACATGCATTGTATTTAGATTCTCCATAGTCAATGTGTGTCTCTGTATATAAAACACATAACAGATGGGATTTGAATATTGCTGATTAGAATTTAAATACGTTAATGAGTTTATGTTAAAACTTAGCTGGACATGCATGTACAGGGTTAGGTTAAGGTTTTTGCTTATGTTAAGTAGCAGACATATAGAACTTATAGCAGAGAATAGTAGCTAATGCTGATAACTTTTGATATTGATAAAATTTAAATAAATACCAGCCAAAAATTTCAGTATATTAACCGATATACCACGCACCTCTTGCTACATGTTGATACATATTGTATTTGAAGATGGAAGTAACACAAAACAATAATATTAAGGAAAGAAATATATATTGATCATGAACTAAAAGAAAATTACGATCTGGATTCGACGGGAGAAAAAAAAAGTAATGCGATTCATATTTTACCCAAAATCGTGCAGCCCTAGTCAGGTGTGCACCACTGAGTATGCTTTTAAGGCTAGTATTGATAGTCATAGAGAATGTATTCGAGTAAAAAGTTATTTGGCTCGAAAAAGTAGTGAAGTAAAAGTTAAAGTTGCAACAATGTAAAATACTCCAGCAAAGCACAACACCCCCCCCCCAAAAAAAAAGAAAGAAAAACACCACTTAAGTACAAAGAATTTGTACTTTGTACCCCTGGGACAAACAAACTCTTCAGAAAGCCCTCACGATAAGCACCTGTAAACGTTACAAGCCAAAGCAGTGTGCCCACACATCTCCCACGTATTAGTGGTCCGCCACCATGTCATTGACCAAGCCCCAACTCCTCCCCATTGGTTAGTTACATTTTTTCCAGAACATTTTACCCCAGTCTTCATCCCCACTGGAAGCTGAGACTTTTGTTTTTGCTGAAGCATTCCATGGTCAGATTTTGGTTTCCCCGCTTTAGTGGAGTGGAGTACCTAGCGTTACAATTTAGCAATACAACACTGGTGAATAACATGACAATTCATGAAGGTGCCCATATTTAGTGATTATATGAATACCATGCTGTGGGTTTTTGAAGGACTTACATGCAAATATGCATTTTTACAAAAGGGTGTCAGCTTTCAACACAGAAGAATAGTCTGTTTAACAGACAAACAGTTCATTGGTGATAATAGTTAAGTGGTGAGTAGCTAATGACAGTCATAAATCCAGACAGTTCAATGACTTCAGCTATAAGTTGCTTGAATGGCCAAACCCAATTTAGACCTGGACACTCCTCATGTCAAGAACTACTGTATTTTTTATTTCAGTACAAGCCAAGTGTCCAAAGCAGGATTCTTTAAAAGCATAGAGTCTATATATAAATGGCAAAAGTTTCCTAGAGAATAAAGATACAGCAGATCTAACACGCACTTACAGCATGAAGCAAAATCATAATCCACAGGAAAGCAAGATGCTGTTCAGTGATGGTGCATCATCTCACTCAGTCTTATCACTACCTTTTGTCAGTATTAGTCACATAACTCAAGTAATTGCCTCCTGAGAAACAACTCTGCAGGAATGTTTTCATACTCCAAGTAAACACAGTAATTTCAGCTCTTAATCAGAGTAACCAAATAATCCATGTCAGGGAGGACACTTTGAGCTACTTCAGGTTTTATAAACTACTTTCAAACTGAAAGGCTCGTGTGCTCGGCTAAAAATAGTTCAGTTCTTCTTGTGCTTTGGCTGGTTTATTTCCTTGATCAAAACACTATTCCGGCTGCTTCACATTAACATAATTGACACATGCATGAATACGAGACTGACCAATCAGCACACAGCAAAAACTCAGAAATACAGGTCCTTTTCATTTATATGGTAGTTTACAAATCCTGTCATTGCTCAACTTGTCCTGCCTGACATGGATTATCTGGTCACCCTATTATTAATGGCTTATGAGTTTATATACATTTAGCATAAAAGCATCTTTACTGATACAGAGGAAAAAAAAATCAACACAAGAACTGGCAGTCAAAGAAAGCTCATCCCAGGCCAGGTAGAACAGGACTTCAACATATACAGTAAAAACCCAACTCAACAATGCACAACTCGTTACTGATACTGTGAGTGGCATTCTAGCAATCAGGAGACATTCATGATAAGGTTAACTTGCGTACCTATGGCATAGAATGTAGCTGGAACTCATGAAAGGATTGGTGACGAAACCTTCATGAAGAACTGAAAAAAGCAGCTGATAAAAGCTGCATTGTAGAACAAATCACCACACCCTGACGTTACAAAAGCAGACAGTATGTGCCACACCTCTCTGCTCTAAATATAGGACTGTACACCCATAAACCAAGAGAGCATGGAAACTCAGGGTTTACATCATGTATTTCTCAAAATGGAGGCATCCAGAGCATGAGCGTAAAGTATGGGTGGGATGGGGGGGTTGTAGCCCCCCCAATAAATCAAAACCAGGTAATACAACCCTCCAAATAATCATGTTTCCCTCGTAATGGGTGGAGACCTCAGCCCCCCAATGTTCCACCCAAAGTTACGCCCTTGGTCCAGAGTGGAGAATCTGAGTGAATGAACCAAACGGGCATACAAACACCTGTAATTGTACATTAACCAGTGATATGGCTCTAGAAAAACATTTTCATCTGGTAAACGCAACATGATGAAACACATTGATCTAGGCCTGTCAAGACACATAATGCAAACAACCAGCTGCTTTTTAAAGACACTTGGCTAGGCAACCAATATGTTTTGTGAAATGTCTTTCATACATCTAAAGTGTGGGTTGTTTTGTTCTCAGTTTTTCAGGTTGACTAAAGGGAGAGAAACTCAAGATCAACTGGTGCAGTCGCAATAAGGACTGTGTGTGGCATACACCTGAAAATGCAATAGTGATATCTGTACTATGCTGCTCTTTTACACAAGCTTTTGGAAGAATCAGACTAACACTAAATTAAAACATAAAGCAATACAGTAAAACTAAACAAAAAACCGGGCTATCTGCATCGTGAGCATATTTATTTATTAAGTAACTCTGCTGGGAATGACATCAACAAGACACTTTCTGGATACAAACCTGCGCCATCTGAGCGGCCGTGTCACCCCGAGCCCCCAAGTACACCATGGCCAGGGCGGAGGAAAGGCTGAACGGTGAAAAGATGACATTGCCCTCGTTACCGCTACTAATCTTCGTAAAGAGATCCAGGGAGAAGCGGGTGTTTGCGGCAGTCAGAGACTCCATTGCGAGTGTCCTGGAATGACATGTTTCAGAGCAACAATTCACCTATGATTTATTTGTTCAGTCCGTAGATTTAAATGCCCATATCAAGTTATGATGGGTGGTATGCAGATTAATTATCACTGCAACTACATATGCGGTTACTGGTTAGTGTAACAATCTTCGAACATGACTCAACCTGACTGGGTGAGCTCTGGATTCATGTCAAACTTTGAACATATTTCCAATCCTCCGAAATAACTAAACAGACAACATAAATAATTCAAATAAAGAAATTCCGAACAAGAAAGGAGAACAAAAAAATCACCCCAGAGCGAACAAACCCGGAACGAGCTATAGTTACGCGACATCACACAACTACACCTCTGAACGTCGAACGAAATCAGCTCAAATAGGAGTAGCGCTTCATCACTTCTTAGTCTTATTCATGTCAATAATTTGAGGTTATATCATATTACCAAACAGCAATTTTATTATGCTAGGCGGGGTGTAAGGAATAATCTCTCATAAATCGTAAGTTACACGGTGCATAAATTTATCTTTACGGCAGTCAGTATGTTGTATGTAAAACGTTAATACTTACGGGTCGGCGTGCGGTGAAAGGTCTTTACTTCTGTGATGCACAGCTGGGTATGTATCTTATCCGTTCCAGGTAATATATTTTACCAACCATCCGTTTGACACGCCCAAAACCTATCATCGCGTGTACGCAGTATCCAACCCAGTTCCAGCAAACCACGCCTTTTTGAATAGCAATCTTTTCATTGGCTAACCCTGTGCCGCTCGGCTTTTGTTAAGTTGATAGTTGTGTTAAGTCTTGCCAACTTAGTGACTTTGTCGATATATTTAGCGAGTTTTTAAAACCCCTCTAGCGACTCGTTTTCAAAAAAGCGACTAGCGACAAATCTAACTACTTTTTCTGGTGTTATTGGAGACTCTGACGTGAAAGCACGTATCATTCTTACTCTTCTCACCGAGCAGCGGGTGCTGCCGTCGGCTCCTCTCCCGTCCCAAAGCACTCTCAGGCGGACAGTCCTCGTGCAGCAGCCCCGCCCAGCTGCAATCAGAGCAGGAGATGTGCATCATTTTCTCACATTGCCATTGAGTTTTTTTTCTATTGTCATTTTTTGGTCCGTTTAGATTGTTAATGTAGATTTTATACAAAAAAAAATGTTATGGTTAAAATGTTAACTGTTCACTTGTTTACTGTGACTTGTACACTTAAGCAAACTTAATAAAAGTAACTCCGCCAGTGTCTCTGCAAGGAGAATGGTTGTTATTGTGATATAAAATAAAACAAAAATCGACAGAGGAAAGTTCATTTGTAGTTCTAAACGAATTTAGGGTGTTTTAATCACTTTTTGTCTCTCCCACGACATTTTATTCCTCTCTCCTACAGCGTCCATTACAATTACACACTTATGCAAATGAGGCGATGGCGACTTTTGGGACAGCCAATAGCTACTTTCCTTGCTGAGGAGTTGGCAACAGTGCTGTTAACTTCTCTCTGGTAATTTTGCTAAGAGGTAAGGAGCATGCACTGATTACAGTGCGTTGCCGCACCCACCACACGACAAACCACCGGAGGGATGAGAACCTGAGTGCAGCCATGTGACGGTTGATACCTCAGCACCACACTAGTCCTAATGCCCAATCCTGTCACCAACATCTGTAAATTGGAGTACCTACTTGCAGGGCTGGATGTAGATTAACGTCATACCCAAGTCTACTTTAGATTAACTTTTTGTAGAAGTTCCCTATTCTATTACTATTATTATTAATAAACTTTTCTTCTCCTGTTGTTTAGTGTAACATTGCTTATGCCTCACATTCGTCTTGAACGTGTCTTCCATCCGACACACCTTGTTTACTGGAGCTGAGTTGGAAATTGCGTACATCCTCTGTCATCTCATCTACTTCCGTGTTTGAATAAGGATACCGAGCCAGGACAAATAGAATGAGAGTCACAAATGCGTAAATGCCTAAGAGGTGAGCAGCTGCGGAAAATCCATAGTTTCGGTCGTGGAGAGCCAGAATCCACACAATTTGCAGATTTCCCTACTCAAACACATCTTGATCAGCTAACTACCAGGTTTAGTAGGTGTGTCTAAGCAGGGAAAGTTGTTAACTGTTGCAAACAGGTCCCGCGTGACCTTGCCTTAAAATTAAGTAATCCTTACGTCTCTCCAGCTTTCATGTTTTTATTGCCAACCACACCTTATGACTAGGCATTCATATTACAGATTTAAACATAACGCAACAAATGATTCAGCCGGAAAATAAACTTTATATTAATATGGGGGGTAGGGTTGCCAACCATCCCGAATTGTCCGGGACATCCCGAAATATGGGTGATTTTGATTCGTCCCTTCACTGAAGGGACGAATCAAAATCCTAATGGGGGGTGAAAATCGGGGTCAGACGTGTGACGTCACGTTCAATTATAGGTCGATTCCAGGGTTGGGCATTTCAAAGTCCAGTAGCTACATATCCAGACCAGGATTTTGTTTCTACCAACCAGCTGAGCATAAAGAACCACAGTCACAGAATACTCAGCTGGTTGGTAGAAACGAAATCTTGGTCTGGATTTGTAGCTTCTGGACCTACTTTAGTTACGCTGTATATAGTGCGTTTTGTTCTTCATTCGTACACTAGTAATATTCATCTTTCCATTTTTACTGATATCCATCTTCACTAATATGGCAGTTTAAGTCCGGTAATGTGCCGCATCATGTAGGCTACGCCGAATTTGCGGGATTATTGACATTATGCACAAATCGCGAGATTCCGCCACAAATGTCAGCCATGCACTGTGGAAAAACGACCTCAACTCAGGGTCCACTATGATGCCCCTGTCACTCTCCTGCACCCTGTCTTCTCTCACAAATATCTTAAATTTGCGGAAAGAATCACTTGCACAAACACAACACACAAAATAGCGACTAGCACGTCTTCTCCTAGAGACCCATAGAAAGAAATAGTAATTGAATAAAAGGGATTTTCTGACAGCACTGTTTATGAACTGAATGATTGAGTTACTGGTAACTGAGTAACTTACTCTGTGGCTTTTTCCAAATAAACGCCATAATTGGCTTCGTTTTTTGACGGGCTTCTTACCCATTCGTATGCCCTGATAGCAAACAGTGGGATGACATTTCTGACTGACACTAATGCTATTTTACCACTGCGTTATTAGCGTTGCTTTTTTGTGTTGTGCTGTTAACCAACAAGTTTAGTTGCAGTTTGCACAAACAGATAAGATAATCTTTATAAAAACTGATCGACATGCATGACACGATTAAATCCCACCATTTCACATAGTTATTTATTAACTGTTGGTTATGATAGGAGGTCTTCAATGAGTTAAATTTACATACAAAGCCGTACCGTGTTTTCTGCTCGCCGCTGGTTGTTTCTTTTGCTTGCAGGTCTGCGAAGGGTAGGGATTCTCAAGGTAAAAACTGTCAGAAATAAACTTTAAATGATTAGATGAGATAATCGTATGTTGTTTGTAAAATAAGTATTATATTACATATATTATTGAGGGTGGATGACCCCCCCGCCCATCTCAACCCTGCAGGGACATGTTCCCCCGGTCCCCCCTTCAATCTACGCCTATGATGTCATCGATCATTTCACACTTGAATGACTGCACGTAGAAACACGGGTCATCACGCCGTTCTGCGTTGTTGAGACAGTTCAAACCGCAGCGTCATTTCTAATCCTAATTACCCCAACTTCACGTAAAAAAAGTTCTCAAAAGGCAACCTTCCAGGTCTACACTTCCAAATCTTTATATTATATCAAAACGCAGCAAAAGTCAGCATTTTGACACGTACAACAAAATTTCGTTAAACATGACATAACATGTTTAACAACCATTTACCTTTAGTAATTTAATACCAAACTGATAATTTTGAAAATGTAATTCTGCACTGACACGAAGAATTTTAATCTCAAAACAGCTAACACATTCGATTTCTACATCGATTCCATTCCAGTTTGAAATAAGATTTGAGGTCATTATATGACAATAATCCAAAATTTACATGGAATAGGACACGTGGGCCAGCTATAATTTACAAGACATGTATTGTTCACAATACACTTCCCAACAGTATCTTATCCTTTAGGAATTGGGCGCCACCCTGCATAGGAATGTGGGTTGCACATTATAAGGAACACACACAATAGTATTTTAAACGAAAGCCTGACCACCTCTATAAGAAAACTTTTCAAAATGCTTTAAACACGTGTGATCGCTTTTATGCATACACGTTAAAAGCCAAGGGTTGTAAGGAGCATTAATATTAACGTTACACTAACATGAATGGGACAAAGCCGGCAGAAGCCACGCTAACGGCACGTGACCAGTGTGGGACAAAGGACAGCTCTCACCGCGTTTTGTATTTATTGCTGTTAATTCCAGAGAAACAAAAAAATGAACAATTTGCATAAAATCCAAATTTGTTCTAGAAATATATTTGACCTTTCCAGTACATAACATTTAGATATCAAAGAATACAGTAAACAGACAACTGAAGGTAACAAGATACCCCCTTATATACAGTACAGCATTTTAAACCTTAAAAGTTCAACAAATACAACTGTCAGGTTCTTATATACAAGTCCAACACCCACTATATACTCAAGTGGTCCTTGCCTTTTAAAATGTTTGTCAATTTTAAATATCTATCAAAATAAATTCCACGTTATCGTTTTATTTAACGTCAGTACAAAGAAGACCGTTCATACTTCCTTCAATACAAGTAAGTAGGCTTTGAGCTGCTGCGGCACCAAACGAAAGTTTTAGGAGCAGACGAAAACCCGCGCGCACGTCTTTAAATCTTTAAGAAACGAACCGATTATATTGAAAAGGAGGTCTATCTACATACGGTTAAGGGTGAGATTTGCTTGTATGTGGGCATGCTGACAGCCTCACACGACCAGAAACAAAGTATAGTATCAAGTGAGAGCCATTTGTCAGGAAGTACTCTGCGAAGAAACTATCGTTTTGGAATGGTTACCAATGATGTGATCTTCCTCAAAATTATGAACAAACTTATTAAAGCTTTAACAACTGTCCATCCTATTCAAATATGAAAATGACGTGCGTAGTATGTATGTGCGCTCATACATATACAACGCAAGCATATTTAATACAATACCATTGCTGCTTTAGGAAGGGACAAAAATAATATAAATTTAAGGAAAATTAATCTCTATGCGTATTTCTTCCATCGTGGCTACTACAGGCAAGTCCATGTGTCTTCCTACACACCCCAATTCACGCTAGATCCTTCCGCACCCTGCACAACTGGTAAGCAGTGGCTCCATCTTGTGGTCAGAATCTGCAGTGCATAAAAATACTGTATGGACAGCAACATAACGTAACGTTATTGGAGTATTAGACTGCTGTCTCTGTTCTACCTTAAGACCGCCTTAGTAGACTTGGGGACTTCAGAACTCCTTGCAGCAACAGTGCAAGAGGTTAAATAATAATAAAAAAAGAATAAATGAAAGGACAGCAGCATTAAAATGATGACAACATGATTAATGATTAAATACAAGGTTCACATTATATCAAGTGGCAATGCTTCAAAGTAACCATTCTTAATAGAAGATACTGCCAAATTCCTTAAATTTAGGCAATTAAAATAACAATATGCTGTACATTCAGAACACTGTGATAAAAAAAATAAAAAACAATCCCAGCTTTGCACATCTGCAACCATTAGTTTTCCCCCCTTGGTTTGTGACAAAAACTGAAACCATAAGGAATCATAAATATACCCTTGGTTAAAAAGTGAAAGGGGTGACTAATATAGAATCCCTTCACAACCCCCTGGTGTTAAAGATCAGACTATTAGCAATCCTTTGTACTCCTATCAGACTTGGTTTTACAATTTAAGAAACAAGCTCGTAAACATGAACCGGTGTCTCTCGCCAGTCTTCAGTGCAAAATACCAGAGGAAACCCAGGGTGGAGTTGGGCGGGGAGGGGTCTTTGAAATGAGGAGCAATCTCCCTCAGCTATAACAAGGAGGTTTCAGGCACAAATTCAGGTTTGCCAGGCCCCCAAAGCACATTTTAAAAGGTGAAACAAACAGAATGGAAACATTTACACCTCTTAAAATACAAGGTCTCTGGAAACTTTATTGTAACGGAACATGACAGAGATAGTGGTCTCCAGTGACTTCAGTCAGCCTTGTCGATCATCTCCGAGGACTGAGCTCCAACGTACTTCAGCCTGAAGACACCTGGAAGACAACGTAGGAGAAAAAACTGGGGCTGAGAGAGGAGAAAATAACAAAATCTAGCCGCACGACAGCCTGACGGAGTTCTGTTCTGTTTTGATAAGAGTGCGACACTTTCTTTATAATGACTTGTATGAAACAATTGTTTGTGTTTGTTTTATATTTTACTTTATTACCTAGCTCTGCAGGCACTGTGTAAAGGCAAGCTCTTGAGAGAAGAGGGGAGAGAGGGGAAAAAAATATAAAATAAAAAATTTCTTCAGATCTGAAGGAAAACTGAGGTAGAGCGTCCGGACCAGGGTTATTATAGTTAACAAAAATGAAAATCAAACATATAGGAAAGCATTTTCGTAAAGTAAAATGAGATTAAGATTAAAAAAATTAAATGAAAAACTATAATGAAAAAAAAATATGAATATTGCTTTGGAAACAAAGTGAAATAAAAAAGTTCCTGTTATATTTAGCTAAAGTAATGATTTGTTTATCTTTAATAACCATTAACAGCGCTTGGACATGGTTTGCCCATTTTGAGGATATTAGTACATAATATGCACTTTGTATTTATGCAGGATCCTCGAAAGATCAGACACATAAACTATTTCCACAACTTTCAATTCATCCCTAGAAATAACTTAAAATATATAAACTAAAATATATATAAAATAGAAATACATATTTTAAATTAAAACAAAATAATAAAACTACATTGAAATCTAAAACTAAACTAGATTTCATATGAAAATTGAAAATAAGAGAAAAATAAAAACTATATAGCTACTGGTCCAGACAGGGTAGCAGTACCTTGCTGTGCGGCATCAATGGAGGGCTGCTTGCAGTCCTGTGCATAATGCCCACTGACCCCGCAGTTGTAGCAGGAGACATTGCTGCTGTTCTTCTTCATGCACGCTGTCAGGGCGCCGCCGGGCATCATGCTGACCGGGGGGAAGACCGGCGGGTAGAAGCGGTTGAAGGCGCCCATCTGCTGCATGCCGTAGCCCACCTGGGTGCTGAGCACGTGCTCGGAGTGCGTGTGCAGCAGTGGCCCGCTGGCATAGGGCGCCGGCGGAAAGAAGGGAAGCTGCGTGGTGCCGTTGCTCTGATGGGGCAGCGACGTGAGGTGGAAGATATGGGGCATACTGAGGACCTGCCGGGGCATCTGGGGCGGGAAGTAGTAGTTGGGGGCGTGGTTACTGCCACAGCTACCTCGGCAACCGCAAGTTCCGCAGCCCATCTGCTGAGGAGGCGTCGATTGCTGCTGCTGGGGTTGGGAGGCCCCGCTGGAGGTGCCACAGCTGGTACTGTTGATGTAAGAGGTGCTGTCGCTCTGTGCTGTGCTGTGAGTAAGGGCGGGGCTTGAGCTGGGGGCGGGGCCAGGGGTGTGGGTGGGGATGGCAGGTGGCACCATGACCTGCACCTGGCTGACTGTGGGGGTGGCCACGCCCCCCACGGAGGGCATGATGGAAGTGGGCACGGGCAAGCTGTAGGGGGTGGCCAGGCCAGCAGACAGCGAGAGGCTGGGGGGCTTGGCATGGGGCTCTGTGGGCGGGGCGGGGTTGGGGAGGCTGGCGGGTTCGGTGCTGGGGTAGGCCTGTGTCAGGGGAGACATGTAGCTGGTGCCTTGGGGAACGACACCAACACTGCCCACGGGGGGCTGGTGTGGCACGGGGGGCTGGTGTGGCAGGGCGCAGTTCTCAGAGCTGCCCTGTAGGGTGGTGGCCTTGAAGCGCGGGACAAGGGGCTGAATGGCTGGGCCCACGGCTTGCGGCAGGCCTGCCAGGGATGGCCCGAAGGCATGCGGCAGGGAGGCGGGCTCGGGCGGCAACTTCTCCCCCTCCCCAGGTGGTACCATGCCGGAGACGGCCTCGCGGAGTCCCAAGGACGGGGTCCCCACCCCTGCCACCCCCACGACGGGCTTGCTGTCTGGCCCATGAGTGGCTGACCCTGGGTCTGGGGAGGGGACCGCCCCGTTCTGGACCACATAGGGCAGGGTGTGCACGAAAGAGAGCTGGGGGAACACAGGATTGCTGAGAGCCCCCTCTGGGCGGGACGGCTCCTCCTTCAGCGGGTTGGGCAGTAGGGGGCGCATGGTGGCAAGGGCTGCTCCGGCCAGCCGTTTAGGAGAGGGGAAGGGCTCCACCCGGCCCTTGCTGTAGTCATCGGAATGGCTGTCTGTATCTGTAGACGGAGAGGAAGAGTCAGGCAGACAGAGGGAAATTCCGGTCCCAAGTCAGGCGGCTCTTGTGAAATGTGTTTTTCCAGGTCACTTCTGCACTTATAGCCACAAGACTGTCATAAATTAATAAAACTACCCCTGACATATAGTACCAGTCAAACGTTTGGACACATCTACCCATGGAAAGGTTTATTTGAACTATTGCAACTCTGTGGTTTGGGATTCAGAAGGTTGGAGGTTCAGATCCCACGGTCAGCAGAGTGATCCCACTATTGGGCCCTTGGGCAAGACCCCTAAGCCCAATATCTCTTGGAACTGGTTGACCCTACTGTCTCTACGCCGGT